GGCGAGATCTTCATAGCCGAGGAAGAATCGTGACTGATGATCGTGCGACGATGATCTTACGACGAAATCGGTGACTCGTGGATCACGTGTTTCGGGTCTAACAGTATATCTGTGAATATTGAAAACCTACAGGTGGGTTTTTAAATCTGAGACTACTATACGTTTAAAAAAATATTTACATTTTTTATCAAATTAGGTGGAACAATTTGCAACTGGAGACTCTCAGATCATTAACAACCACATAAAACATTGTCGAGATGTATTGGTTTTTCTGTTTCTGACTTTTTTTATCTTGATATATTGACACAAGCGAAACGGCGAGTCAGTCGCTTCTCAAGCGGATATGTCGTGTAGCCTACGAACGGCTTGGTCGATAAGAGGCGGTTAGATTTGGAGAGTGGTGTGTTTATGATCGTAGGTTTTACAATGTAGCGAAAGCAGGTAATTATTTAGGGACAAATTTATGATAAGCACGAACTCTCTCTTCATGTAGGGCTCAAAGCCTTTATTATATATTGTTCTATTATATGCGCTCCTACAGCTCTTAAACATATTAAACATATTATCTAACGTATATCCCTTTAATTATTGTTTTTCTTAAAACCCGTATTACCACTTTAATCCTTATACCTCTAAACGACTTTTACGACCGATAATCCGGAGAAACCATATATTAGGTAGATGATCAACATAGCCGTTCATTATTACTGCGCCACATCGATCACCTCCTTCCACGTGCTTCCGGGATCACGTTTCACGGCTCACAATATCAAAACCTTTCACCACAGATAATATTGTATGGGTTGATCTTTCTTCAATTACGGACCGAATAAATAGAACTGCCTCGACAGCTTGTATTGGTGAAAAAAAATCAAATCATCTATTATGGTGGCGAGAGTGCAGTATGTGACAATTTTACTTCAATATTCGATATTACAACGCAAAAATGAGCACACCAAAAACTTCAGGAAATAATGCAACCAAACGAAAATTTGCTCAATGTATTACTTCGGAAAACGCAATATATATCTATGATGGACATGATTTATTTAGCATAGTCAAATTAGATACTTCAAATTCAATTTTGTTTGGTCAACATATTATGCTGGATTGATGGCACCCCTTGGTCTTATAGGTTATAGTGCTACTCTCATAAATAATGCTTCTATATTATATATCGGGGTAGATTGCATGATAATTCTTTTGGTTAATCATTCTTTGCTTGATCTTTCCTATAATTTATTGAACAAGGTTTATAAATCCTTTTGAAAATATATATTTCAACACTTCATTTTATTTACTCGACTTCTGCGGTTATTTCCTATTTTCAAAAGCTATTCCACAATTTACATTCACATTTCGAAATAGAGCATTCTATTATATTAATAGCATTTACAATTTATTATAATTGTAGGATACGTCAGAGAATATTCCTTACTCACGTAGCGATCATGCAGTGGTATTTATACGCGAGTTGCAATTATTATGCTACGATTATTATATATAGTAAACATGTGATGACATTAATTACCATTTATTATTAATATTATTAACATAACTCAATATAATCAAATTTTAATATTTCATAGACAACCTAATTCTTCATTTATTGTGCTTGATACCTTAACATTTACATGGTCATCTCCTACAATTTCTACTGGTGGTTCTCAATAGCAATTGATTAAATTTGCTTCATTACTAATTGGCGTTTATGTTCTAATTGCATTTTGACAAAATTGCAAGTACAAATAATATAACTAGTGATATGCAAATTCCAATTTTTTCTCATTTCATGCGCATGGGAATTATTCGGAATCTTTATGAGTTTTCGGAATATTCAGGAACCTATTGAAAATTTCCGACTCATATTATCTGCCAGCATTATATTGCTTCGCCAGCATTATAAAAATCATGCGTATGATTATGCCCATCACTAAATATAACATTATAATTTTATTTGTATTAATTAACCTTAAAATTTAGATAAAAGCGGCAATATTACAAATGACATTTTTCTTCTTGATGTAAGCCTAAAAGATAATTATAAATGGTCTACGGTATTCGATCCCGCCAAATTACTTCAATATATTCCTGCAACAACTGATATAATGTCAGCACCAACTTCTAATTCATTATCCGTTAATTTTGGCGCACTAATTGGAGGTACATTTGTTGGAATTACGGGTCTTATTATAATATCAGCGGTTTCTGCAATAATGGTCAAAAGATATGGACATTATCCTACTTTTATTTCTCAAGAAGAGACAAGTCATCAAATAGAACAGTAAAAATTGCAAAAAATTATGTTTGTAATTCTTTTGTATTTATATTAACAATTAAAACTTAAAACCAAATAATATATTATTAATTATTTATAATTAAAGAATTTATTAAGGTCGTTAAAGCATTATGATAAAGGTGAGAATTGATTTTATAATAATACTTGTTCTAATCATTAATAGAATTTGGCTAATTTTAATTTCTGACTAATAATTTTTGTTGTTCTTAGAATCGATGATACATTTATAAAATCGGTCTTAAAATGTTATGTAATTATTGTTTTGATCTTAATGTAATTTATTACATGTCTTCTAATATGTTAAGACAAGTATATAAGGGAAATTCAATTATGTGAGCAATTAGCCAGTTAAGTAAAGTAATAAACGTTGAGTATTATAATGGAGTTAGCGTCAACTAAAATAATGCGTATTAGCTCACATTTAGTTATCTTTTAATATTCATGTTGTTTAATTAGATGCTTAGAATTGATTATGCATATTGCACGCGAAAGAAAATTAGGTATCTCATGCCATAGCATCTAAAATTCTATTTACAAAATCTTTATA